GACAACAGAGAGATGGAGAGACAGAGAGGGGAGAGAGACAGGAAGACAGAGAGAGAGAGAGAGAGAGAGAGAGAGAGAGAGAGAGACAGAGAGAGGAGAGGGAGAGGAGACAGAGAGCAGAAAGGAGAGAGATGGGGAGAGAGAGAGAGAGAGGAGAGAGAGAGAGACAGAAAGAGGACAGAGAGACAAGCAGAGATAGACACACAGAGAGAAGAGAGACACGCAGAGAGAGGAGACAGCAAGACAGAGAGGGGAGAGACAGAGACAGAAAGAGCACGCACACACGCACACACACAGGAGGGAGAGAGGAGAGACAAAGGAAGAAGAGAGAGGGAGAGGAGACAGAGAGAGAGGAGAGAGAGAAGAGAGAGGGGGGAGAGAGAAACAGAGGAGAGATACAGAGATAAAAAGAGAAGGAAAGAGCAGAGAGAGAGAGGAGAGAAAGAGGAGAAAGACAGAAGAGGAGGCAGAAAGATAGAGAGGAGAGAGACAAAGACACAGAGGGAAAGAGAGACAAGGAAGCAGAGGGGAGGGACAGGCAACATCGTGAGAACTTGTCTCTACAAAAAATAAAAAAGTAACCGGGCATGGTGGTACACACCTGTAGCCCCAGCTACTCGGGAGGCTGAGGTGGGGAATTACCTGAGCCCAGGAAGTCGAGGCTGTAGTGAGCTGTGATCATGCCACTGCACTCCGTGCCTGGACGACAGAGGGAGACCCCGACTCAATAAAATAAACATGAGAATTCCATCTGGCTGCTACATTCCTTCTCCCCGAGCACATCCATCTTCCCACCTGCGGCATGGTGCCCTTCACCTCACGTGAGTTGTGACAGTTGCCTCCTGGTCTCTCTGGGGATTCCCCCCACCCCAGGTCAACTTGGTGCTGATAGCTGTCATGTTTTTTCTTGAGAAGATATCACATTTTCCTGATGCTTTATATGCCAAGTAATTTGATTGGATGCTGGACGTTCTGAGTAGTTAGACTAATACTGAGTCTTGTACAAATATTCTGGAGAATGTTGATTCTGCTTACCAACCATACACATGGGCTCACGTGGAAAGTTCTGCCCAGCTTTGGCCATGTTCCATGGTTAGTTCAGTGTTCAAAGGCCTGCTGTGCTGTCTGGTGTCTTATACCTGTCTGCACAGTTGTCTGTGTGTTGAACAGTGGTTTAAGTTGTACTTCAATTTTGTTGTTGTTGTTGTTGGAGTCTCACTCTGTCACCCAGACTCGAGTACAGTGGCTGCCCCGGCCACCGTAGCCTTGACCTGCTGGGCTCCGGTGATGCTTTCGCCTCAGCCTCCCAAGTAGCTGGAACTACAGGCACGCGCTACCACTCCCAGCTAATTTTGAGTTGAAGTCTCACTCTGTCACCCAGACTGGAGTGCAGTGGCCTCTCCTGGTCCCACAGCCTTGACCTGCTGGGCTCCGGCGATCCTTCCACCTCAGCCTTCCGAGTAGCTGAAATTACAGGTGCACGCTACCATGCCTGGCTAATTTTTTATTTATTGTAGAGATGAGGTCTCGCCAAGCTGCCCAGGAGGGTCTCGAACCCACGGGCTTAGGCAATCCACTCACCTCAGCCTCCCAAAGGCACGGGATTACAGGATGAGCTGCCAGGCCCAGCTTGTTTTTTTGAAGTTGGGGTTTCACGCTGTCACCCAAGCTGGGGTTCAGTGGCACTATCATGGCTCACCACCTTCTTGACTTCCCGGACTCAGGCAATCCTGCCACCTGTCTCCCAAGCTGGGATTACAGGCACGTGCCACCATGCCTAACTTTTGTAGATACAAGGTCTTGCCATGTTGCCCAGGCTGGTCTCAACTTCTGGACTCAAGTAATTCGCCTGTTTCAGCCTCCCAAGTGCTGGGATAACAGGCACCTGCCATCATATGTGGGTAATTTAAATTTTTTTTTTTTTGGTAGAGACGAAGTCTCACTATGCTGCCCAGGCTGGTCTCAAACTTCTGGACTCAAGTGATCCTCCTGCCTCGGCCAGTTCAAGACCAGCCTAGGCAACACAGTGAGAATTCATCTCTACAAATAATTTAAAAATGAGTCAGGTGTGGTGGTGTGCACTTATAGTCCCAGCTACTTGGGAGGCTGAGGAGGGAGGATTGCCTGAGTCCAGGAGGTTGAGGCTGCAGTGAGCCATGATTGTACCACTGCAATCCAGCCTGGGTGAGAGTGAGACCATCAACTCAAAAACTAAAACGATGAAAACTACACTAAATATATGAGCCAGCAACACAACCGTTATTATCAGTTCTTGGGTGCAATGTTGTCACACGACAGGCAGTGCAGTAGGTCTGTTTACTATAGTATCACCAAGCTTGGGCTATGATGTCAAGAGGTGACAGGAACTTTTTAGATCTGTTATCATCTCAGGGGAGAACCACCATGGTACATGTGGACCATCGCTGACCTCGGTGGTGTTGTGCCGTGACTGTATGATGTTCGAAGTCAGGATAGCTGTTATCTTGAAGAGGAGAAAGTCATGATTGGCAAGTGGCATTATGAGATTCTGGAGTGTTCTGAATATTGTTTCTTGACTATTTGATTGTTACACATGTAGTCTCTTAGTGGTGATTGAGACAAGTATTTGTTGTACAAACATTATTTTGCGTATCAATTTTAAAACACTGGAAAATGCCCTCTCCGTCTGGATGCAGAACCTCGGCCTAACCTGGCCTAGGTACCTGGGAGAACTCATCCTAAAGGCACTGAGACACCTTATGCCATCCTGAACAGGAACACTGGGCCTCGTGAACAACGGGGTGAAGAGCTCAAAACTGACCAGAACCTTGTCTCTCACTGCCGATGCTTTGTGACTGCTGGTGTGAAACATAGGACATGATATACCTTTAAACACCTATTGTTTGCCCAGGGCTTAGCCCACTTACTGGGGCCAGTGCCACCCTCAGGGAAAGTGGCCTTCCCCGTTCCACCCATGTGGCTTTCACAGGAGCTGTGCTGTTCCAAAGTCTACCCTGTGGTCATGGTCGGTCAGTCCAGTCACAGATACCTGACCCCTGCTGGGAGCCCTGTTCCTAGAGCTTTGGGACTTGGGACAGGAGTTCTGGATTTGAATAGGCACTCTTGGGGAAGGGGTACAGATGCCTATGTCCTCACAGGTGATTCTGAAGTGTAAGGACTCTGATGTTGATATCTCAATTCTTTGTTTGGTTGTGCCTATTATTTCTTTAAAGGGATTTTGCTTTAAAACTGGCAATATATTCAATCAATACTGTCAATTCACGGCTGGTAGGGTCAAGTTTTGAAATATTTCTATATTCTTTCTGGAACTGTTTTTTCTGCCACAGAATTCACCTAAATTATGGCAGTTGTGGCTTCAGGCGTAATCAAAAGTTACTGTCAACCATGAATATGTTTCCAATTTCATAAAAAAAAAAGAACAGCCTCAATTTTAAGTGCTTGATTACCTACGGAATTAAGTGCTTTTCCTTTTTTACAATTTACTACACATTTCTCTAATTTCTATAATAAATATGCATAATTTTTTAATAAGAAAAGTTGGCTGGTTGTGGTAGCTCATACCTGTAATCCCAGCACTTTGGGAGGCTGAAGGTGGGAGGATTGCTTGAACCCAGGAGTTCAAGACCAGTCTGGGCAACATAGTGAGACCTTGTCTCTACAAGAAAAATAAAAAAATTAGCTGGGTATGGTGGCTGAGATGGAAGGATTGCCTGAGCCCAGGAGATCAAGGCTGTGGTGAGCCACGTTCGTGTCACTGCATGCCAGCCTGGGCAACTGAGCAAGATCCCCACTAAAAAAAAAAAAGCCAATTAATGTTATAACAATACAAGCAATATATATGATTATTTTATCTGTGAATATCTATAGTCGGGAATTAAGGTATCTGACAAGCTTTCAATAGCAGGTAATGGACACCTCTGTGCAAAAGCAAACTCATGTCAGCACTTGAAGTGCAAAACATTTTCTCATTTTTAAAAAGAAGTCTTTTTACCTTTCTACTTTAACCATATTAGGCCAGCACATCCACATTTATTTCTGGATGACAGGATTGCAAGCAATTACCATTTTTCACCTTTATACTTAAAACTTTAAAGAGAAAACATAGATTTAAAAAATCTGCCCCAACGTAGATTAAAAAAAATCTGGAACTGGCATAGTTACCACAGTCTTAGCCAATTTGTGGTTAATGAGGCCCAAGGGTGAAATCTGTTCCATTTTCCGACTTGCGACCCGAGGGTCACTGAGCCCCTCACCAAGACTTTCTAGGGTCACTCACATCAGTGTGGCTAACATTGGCTCCACACTCCTGTTAACGTCTTGTTCATTCCCCGCCTCCAAGTTAGTTTCTCCAAGTTAGTAGTCTGCTTTTGTAACTCAAACCTAAACTTCGACATGGCAAATATTTCACAAGAACCTCTGCATGGGTTTTTCTGTTGTGCTGGGTAAGGTTTGGGTAAGGTTCTCATTCACTGATCTATAAGCACGGCAACATTTAATATTTAAAAGTTTTTGCACCGGTTTAGGGGAGAGGGTGTCACTTTCCTTTCTCACCAGTGGAACTAATTGTAGCACCGGCCACAGCAAACGCCTCCTGAGGGGCCCTCACTGGACTGCAGATACTTCCTGACTTTTCCATTCATAAAAGAAAAGTTGAATATTCGTATGTGGTTTGAAAATGCATGAATTTTCCCTCTTGAAAACTCCTATGATGCCTTTTCGCCTGCTTGCTTTATGTACGGTAGCCTTTTCTACGTTGCTAGGTATCAACGCATGGCAGATGACAGGCTCCAAGAACAAATGCAGTTAGGGCAAACTGAAAATGTGCTCCACACAGTCCACATGTGAAGTAACTGGGCCAGACAACACAGAATTCCCCCTCAAGAAGTCTAAGTCTGGGAGGGCAGTATGATTTAGGTTTGCATGTTTAAACAACTGAGTAATGTATTAAAATAAATTGTAGGAAACTGGGAGAAATAAGGGAATTTGACCATATCCAGAAATTAATTAAACACTTGAAAAAAACGCATATAAATTTAATAATAAACATTATGGTCAGGCTGTTTATTAAGGAGGTAACCACATATACAAGTTCGGCTTTAGAAATGTTTGCAAATAAAACTTCATGTGATCTGAAAGGACCATGCGTAATGTCAAAAAAGGTATCTGTACATTCAATAAAAAGTTAATTTAAACATACACAGTCTAGATCATTCTAGAGTTATACAAACATCTGGGGCCACATATGTATCTAATTTTCTTTCAAAAAAACTTTTTTATAAAAGTGATGTATTGAGATAATTTTTAAAAGTATCTGACAATTATGAATGGTCCCCAGTTTTACAAAATGTGATTTCCAGAATATGAAAACTGAAAAAAGTCAACTCTTCAGAGTGTTTCATATTATACAAACAAGTTTTGTAGAAAAATGATCCAGCAAATGCTTGAGTTAAGAATATTTATATTTTTCCAATTCTTTACACTTTATTAACACACTTACAAAAAATAACATTCAAACACTGAGAAAATTAAATAACTTTGGAAGCAGAGCTCATCGTGTTCTGCTTACATACAAGTGACAATTCTGGGCTGTTGGCACAAAATAATTGACATTCATAAAACCCTTACTACTAGCTATCAAACGTAAGTTAAAATCATAGGCACTAGGTTATCAAATCCACATTTCTTCTGTAAGACTAACCACAGTAAATCCTTAGATTTTCCCAAACAGAAAAATTGGCAATACACAAAGGCTTTCTAGTAAAAAGGCAATTTTTCTCTTTAGGAAACTAAAAGCCAATAGTCTGTGGTAGTACAACAGCAGGGAAAATAATACTTTACCAAAATCAGATCCAAAATACATTTTAACAAGTGATGAAATATTTAATAAAAAAAAATAGACATTTTTTTCGATGCAGCCATTTAAAAACAAATAACCTGAATACTCCTTTTGAAACTGATCACCCAACTAAAAAATGTAATGAGTGTTTCATAATAAAGTTCATTTTAAATATTCGATTGCAGCATATATATTTTTTGAAATGTTGCACTCAAAACTAAGACCTGTTTTGCTTTGTGTATATGTGGTTTTTAGAAGACAGTGGCTAGTTTTCTTTTACTTAGATTGACATGAGACACCCCCTCTCAAAAGCAGATGCTTTCTTTACCTTCCTCTGAAAAGCAACATTTTTTTAGTTCATCATCACATAGAATTCTGGCACCATCCTTTCCTGACCCACTCAATCACCCTCAAAATCAGGGATACAATTTCCTCCTTGCAGTATACACCAAATACATAGTACTGGTGGCTTACTTTCCAGCTGCTTGCTGAGTGACTCCCAACTGGCCAAGCTAGTCAAGACTCCTTGGTGTCAGCTTGCAGAATGGAAGTCTTGGTGTTAAGTTTTATCACTCTCTCAACCTATCAACCTCAATGAACATCAAGCCTTCCATCGCTCTCAATTTTCTTTGCCAACTTACAGAATGTCTTTGATTAACAGGAAATGAACTTATGTTCAAATCTCTAAAGACGTGTAGGTGACCCAACTGTCGATTTTAGAACTGTTCAGATTAAGTATTTAAAAACAGACTTCACTATCAAAAATGAGAAGCCTGGTACAGAAGGACGTTTAATCTAATAACAGTGTGATAAACCTGAAATAGGCAAGTTTAAGGATCTTTCTAAGAACCGTTAGAGAGCAAGTGTTTGACAGCTTGGAGTCATACGTAGTAGGCGTGTTATCAAAAATGCAAAACTGATGTAAGGCAGAATCGAAGTCAAAAGGGACAGTATTTTCAAAAGATGTTTTCTACGGTTACTCAGTTTAAAGCGGATCAACTTAAGTAGGGCTGAGCAGGCTCTGTTTTCCTACCACATGATAGACCGTTATGCCACGTAATAGCAACAATACAACTGTCATCACCCGAGATTTTGTAGGTTAAGTGCATAGATTTCTTCCCCCTCTCATTGTATGGTTTGCTCCAGGATGTAAGCACCGAGGTGTTGTATCAAGAATAAAGACACACGCTCCCTGCTCTTTCCTATCCTGAAAACCTGCAAATAGAAACAAGACCTCTTAGTTCTGTAAAGGTAACAGCATGTGGAGAAGTTGGCTTCAACAGCAAAGGCCATCTTTCCTGAGCCAGGAACTATAAAGTTTAGAAAGATTGTACAACTGACAGTAAGCCCTTTTGGCAATCAAAACAAACATGATGTTGTGTGGATGTAACATGGTGGGTGCTCTGTACCACCATGGTGACCAGTGAGCTACACCGAAACTTAAGATGAAACGATGATGACTTTTCTAATGAATCTGTAAAAGCGATGCATGGACCTCTCCCAAATGTAGGGATGTTTTACATCTCTAGCCCAGGCTGCTTCTTCCCACACCTCAACCTCAATCTCTAGTTCCTGGTGGACTAGTGAAGCACTAATGGAACACTTTAGATAATTAGTCAGAATATTAGTTCTCGTTAACACAAGTATTTATTGTCACTATTGATACAGTAAATGAGGCTGAGTGTGAAGTTTTGGGTAGCTTAAATTCAATGTGTTCTTGTGCACAAATGGGCATTTCTCTCATTTACAAACGGGCGTTTCTCTTTGGCATCCATTAGGTATTTGCCCGGATATCGGCCTCTGCCAAATATTTTTAAAAACCAACCTAGTTTCTATTAAACAAAACTAAAAGTGATTCCATGGAGAGTGATTGTATGATTACCAAACATGTCTGATGGTAAATGTCATTAAAGTGCTGTCTGATGATCTCTGTCGGTTTGTGCTAATTAAGACAGAGAAGGCTGGGATTTTATGGATCCCAAGAGTCTTGTCTGAACAGTCTGCGTATAAAGTTGTTTTTAGCCTGGTGGAGGGGTGTCCGTGATGCCGTGCACCTCTGCGCTCTTGTCTCTGCTGGTCAGTAGCAGCCATCTTTCCAACTGTCATCTTTCATGCTGCCATAGGTTTTAGGAGCTGGCAAGGATCTGAAAGAAAGCAATTTTAGAATAGGACTTGCATATTCTTATGAAAAGTTACCACGCTGTCTCTTACATATGTTAATTACTTTTCAGGTGGCACCATGAGCCCAAAGCTCTGCACAGCTGTCACCACAACCTCCCACATGCAGCATTTTCCCAACTCTCAGGTTTTCCTGGGTCCCAGCTGATTTCCCTGATTTTGATCAGCAATGCTGCTAGATCAAAAGGAGGGAAAAGACAGTCTCACCTCTTCCAACAAATGTGTAAACAAACTTATTATTTCTCCATTTTTTGAGAAACTGAATGATGAGTGTGACATTATGGGCTCGGTGTCACTACCACTAGAGAGGCCGTACAGGAGAGTGGCCAGTTAAAACAACTCTAAAATCAGACATACTTGGAACTGACAGTCTTATTATTTATGTGGCCTTAGACAAATTACTCTCATTAAATTTCAAAATCTGCCTCTGAAAAATAGGAATAAGAACATCTACTCATTTCATGTTATTGTAAAGATTAAATAAAGTATGTGTAAGTTATTTAGTACAGTGAAGAGCAAATAACTGTTGTTTTCTGCTATTGAATTTGGAGATGAAAAATATTAATCCTAGAATTAAGGAAGTATGGGTAATTCCGTTTAAATGTTTTTGAGATGAAAGTGTTTTTGAATGCAAATAACTATTTAAAGTTTAATTACAGTTGACACCTAAGCTTACCAATAGTAGAAATCCCAGATAAAGATACAGAGGCATCCCTGTTTCTAACCTACCTGGGTTCAGGGGCACCTGAAGACTAATAAACAAACAAAACCCAGCACACCCACAAATTCTGGGCTTCATCCCAAACTTACTAACGTTGACTCTCTGAGGTTTGTAAAACTCAGGCCTTTGACATTTACATAACCCCCACAGATAACTCTGAATTGTAGCAGAATTTGAAGGTCATACTTAGAGATTATACCTAGATTTGGCAGCTAAAAGCTTTATCTTAAACGTCACTCTGGATTCTAACATGCCTTTATTATCTTTACTGAATATAATTATAATCAAAGTGAACAAATATTACAACCAAATTGAGTGATTCTAACACTTTTTCCTAGGAGTCTTCTGAGACCATGTTAGCAGGCAACTGGACAAGTTTAATCTGAACCAAACAGGTATGATGTCTCCAATGAGAACGTCTTCAAAACAACGAAGGGATACTTTATGCAAACTGTGCGAAGACTCCAGCGGAGAGTTCCCCGGGACTCTCTGTTTAGATCAAATGCAGAGGCAAGAACACAGAGTCACCACTTACCTGCGGACAGGCTGTGCAAGCTTGCTGCGAGGCACTGGTATACCCCCCGCAGCAGGGGCACTGGGTCTGGGCAAGCCACTTCTCATTGCGGTTGTCCCTGTAGGTCTGGTTAGTGTAGTGCTGTTGATATTGCTGGGAGAGTTTGCTGGGGCTGTGTTCTGAATCAGGGGGGGCCCAGGTGAGGAGGTGGTCTGTGTGAGCTGCGTTATTTCTTGGCTTCCAGGAGAACCAGAGCCGTGGTTACTAAATGCCTTCACTGGTTGCCGAAGAGCCAGAGGAGATGGTGCCACAGGGGAGCGGAATTTGCCTGGAGACGGAACTGTGGGACCACAAGAAAAGCCCATGTTTATGTGAGAACCAAGGACCCATGGAACCCTACTCCTGTTACCCCGCTGACAGGCACTAGGACATCTGTGTTTATGAATCTCCCTTCTACACAGGGAACCCTGCTCCTATCACCCCGCTGATTGGCACTAGGGCATCTGTGTTCATGAATCTCCGCTCTACACAGCAGTAAAGGAGTAAAGAGTATTTCTGGGCTAATCAGTTATAAGATTATAACACATAAAGATAACTGGTGAGTTCTAAATAACCAAGTATTTACACAGAGAATTACAGCTGCCCTTGTTTTAAATAGGCCAGCTTGGAACCCACAGCACCAGAAAAGTCACTGCAGGGGTCTACCTCACTGGAACCACTAATCCAGGCCACACGTAAACATTCTAGAGTTGAAAAAAGGCTGACTACCAGATTGTTCTCAGAATTTGAGCATCTTAGGTTGGTGCAAAAATAATTGTGGTTTTGGACTGTGACTTTTAAATCATTATAACTAGGCTCAAACACATCTTTATTAATCAAAATAGGAACCATTACAATCAATATATTTTTGCCAATGAGATATGTTTGTTTATTCCTGTAGTGTAAAAATCCGTTCTTCGGGATTCGAGGAACTTTTGGAAAGCATTCTTTGCATCCTGCTGGTTGTGGGGCAATGTCCCTGCAAAAAGTTGTCGAGATGTTTGAAGAAGTGGTAGTAGGTTAGCGAGAGGTCAGGTGAATATGGAGGATGAAGCAAAACTCCATAGCCCAAGCTGTTCAACTTTTGAAGCACTGGCTGTGTGACATGCAGTCGGGTGTTGTCATGGAGAAGTATTGAGCCCTTTCTGTTGACTGATGCCGGCTGCAGGCGTTGCAGTTTTCAGTGCATCTCATCAATATGCTGAGCATCCTTCTCAGATGTCATGGTTTCGCAGGGATTCAGGAAGCTGTAGGGATCAGACTGGCAGTAGACCACCAAACAGTGACTGTGACCTTTTGTTCATGCAAGTTTGGCTTTGGGAAGTGCTTTGGAGCTTCTTCTTGGTCCAACCACTGAGCTGGTTGTTGCTGGTTGTAGTATAAAATCCACTTTTTGTCGCGTTTCACAATCCAACTGAGACATGGTTCACTGTTGTGTAGAATGAAAGAAGATGAAACTTCAAAATGATGATTTTTTAAATTTTCGGTCAGCTCAGAAAGCACCCACTTATCGAGCCTTTTCACCTTTCCAATTTGCTTCTAATGCCGGACAACTGAATAATGGTCGATGTTGAGTTCTTCAGTAACTTCTCGTGAAGTTTTAAGAGGCTCAGCTTCGATGATTGCTCTCAACTGGTTGTTGTCAATTTCCACTGGCTGGCCACTATGCTCATCTTCAAGGCTCTCATCTCCTTTGTAAAACTTCCTGAACCACTACTGCACTGTACGTTCACTAGCAGTCCCTGGGCCAAATGTGGTGCTGATGTTGCAAAGTTGTCTCTGCTGCCTTACGACCCATTTCGAATAAGAAAATTGCTCAAATTTGCTTTTTGTCTAACATCATTTCCATAGTCTAAAATAAATATAAAATAAACAGCAAGCAATAAGTCATTAGAAAAAAAATATAGTGAGAGGTGTGCATTAAAATGATGTATAACATGACCACATTTATTTAAGAATGTATTCCAATATCGAATGGCAAATATCAACAATGCAAAAACCAAAATTACTTTTGCACAAACCTAATATTTAAACTCCCACAAAAACATTCATGTAAACATGCACCAAGTATCTGAAGGTTTGTACCTCCAAGTCTCCTGTCACTGACAGTATAACTGAAACTTTATTTATTTACTCACTTATTTGTTTTTGAGTCAAGGTCTCACTCTGTTGCCCAGGCTGGAGTGTGTGGCAACATCATGGCTCACTGCAGCCTCCATCTCCTGGGTTCAAGCAATCCTCCTGCCTCAGCCTCCAGCGTAGCTGGGACCTTAGGTATACACCACCATGCACAGTTCATTTTTTGTTTGTCTGCCTATGTTGCCTAGGCTGGCCTCAAACTCCTGACCTCAAGTAATTCTCCTCCTTCAGTCTCCCAAAGTGCTGGGATTACAGGTGTGAGCTACTATCCGGCTAACAATTTTAAAATAACTGAAGTTATAAAGAGTATATTCTCTGATCATAATAAATGCAAGTAAGAAAGTAGTAACAAAAAAGATAACAGGAAAATATTTAAACACTTGGAAACTAAATAATATATTTCCCAATGGAAATAAAAACTACATATAATGAATAAAAATTAAAATACAACATGTCAAAATTTCTTGGGCATAATTAAGTCAACAATCTAAACTTTTACTTCAAGAAGTCAGAAAAAAGTAAAATGAACTCAAAGTAAACTGAAGGAAATAATAAAAGAGCAGCAATTAGTGGAACAGAAAAATAGAGAAAACCATGGTTCTTTGAAAAGGTCAATACAATCAACAAGCCTAGAAAAAAGAGAAAATACAAATGACCAATATCAGGAGTGAAATGGGAAACCACTGCAGGGCCCTCAGTATCAAAGGATCATAAAGGAACACCAACAAGTCTATAACCGTTAATTGGACCACTCGGATGAAACAAGCCAGTTCTTCAAAATGCACAAACTACCCCAGCCCATCTGTTATACAACACCCAAGTGGATACAGGCACACCTGGGAGATAACTGTGGACTTGGTTCCAGACAACCATAATATAGCAAATATTACAATAGAGTGAGTCACACAAAATTTTTGATTTTTCAGTGCACAGAAAAGTTATAGACAGGCCGGGTGCTTTGGGAGGCTGAGGCAAAAGGACTGCTTGAGCCCAGGAGTTCGAGACCAGTAAAGGCAAGTTGGTGAGAGGTCCTTTCTATAATAAATTAAAAAATTAGCCAGGCATGGTGAAATGCACCTGTAGTTCCAGCTACTTGTAAGGCTGAGCTAAGAGGATCTCCTAAGTCCAGCAGGTAAAGACTGCGGTGGTTGTGAACATGCCACTGCACTTCAGCCTGGGCAACAGAGTGAGATTCTGACTCAAAAAGAAAAAAAAAGCTACAGCCTTTTTAAAAACTATATTCATCCTGTATATAAATAGCCTAAGCTGTAGTTTATTAAGTGTGCAATATCACTGTCTAAAAAAGTATATGCCTTAATTTAAAAATACTTCACTGCTAAAACATGCTAACAGACATCTGAGCCTGTGGTGAGTCACACTCTTTCCACTGGTGGAGGGCCTCATCTCGATGCTGATGGCGCTGACTGACCAGGGGGTGGTAGCCTAAGGGTGGGGCTACGGCAATCTCTAAACAAAAGACAGCAATGCAAGCTGCCCATCAACAGACTCTTAACTGACAGTTTCACTATAGCTATGATACTGTGACAGCATTTTACCCATAGGAGAACTTCCTTCAGAATAGAGTCAGTTTCCTCAGCCCTGCCACTGCTTCATCAACTAAGTGATGGAATATTCTAACTCCTCAGTTGGCATTTCATCCACGTTCACAGCATCTTCACCAGGAGCAGCTTTCACTTTATTTGTTCATCTTTGTAAGATGCAACTCCTAAATCAGTTCAGTTTTATTATGAGAATGCAGCAATTTGCTCACATCTTCAAGCTCTCCTTTTGGGGGAGAATCAAGGTCTTACTCTGCCTAGGCTGGAGTGCAGTGCCTCAATCATGGCTCACAGCAGCCTTGACTTCCAGGGCTCAGGCAATTCAGCTCAACCCCCTGAGTGCTGGGACTACAAGTATTACCACATTTGGCTAACTTTTTGATGTTTTGATAGAGATGAGGTCTTGCTATGTTGTTATGGCTGGTCTTGAACTCCTGGGCTCCAGCAATCCTCTTGCTTCAAATCCCAAAGTGTTGGGATTACAAGCGTAAGCCACTGCACCTGGCACAAGTTTCACTTCTAATTCTCCTTCTGTTTTCACCAAACCTGCAGTCACTTCCTCCACTGAAGTCTTGAGCCGCTCAAAACCATCCACAAGAGCTGGAGTGAACCTCCTCCACACTCCTGTCAATGTTGATATTTTTACATCTTTCCATTAATCACAAATGTTCTAAAAGTTTTTTACTGATACATGATATTTGTACATATTTATGGAGCAAACGTGACATTTTGATACAGGCATAAAATTTGTCATAATCAAATCAGAGTATTCAGGATACCCATCACCTCAGATGTTTACCATTTCTTTGTGCTGGGGACATTGCGCCTCGTCTATATTGAAATAGACAACGTATTATTGTTCACCACATTTACACCTGTTCTGCCAAGCATTGGAACCTGCCCCTTCTATCTAGGTGTATTTTGTACCCATGATCCACATCTCTCCACTCCCGCTCCACCCCCGCCCCAACACTTCCCAGCCTCTGGAAACCATCCTTCTACTTTCTATCTCTGTGAGGTCAACGTTTTTATGTGTGAAAAATGTGAAAATCATGAATGCTACTACTGGCATTTAGAATGGGGAGTCCTTTCTAGAAGGCTTTCAATTGACTTTGCCCAGCTCCGACAGAGGACTTGCTATCTACAGCAGCTACAACTTTACCAAATGTGGTTCTTAAAAAAGAAGACCTGAAAGTTGAAATCACTCCTTGACCAGTGAGCATGAACTTTCTGTCAGCAGGCACGAGCACGACACCAGTCTCCTTGCACGCCACCAGCAGATTGCTCGGTGACCACGTGTGCTGTCAATGAGCAGTTCTACTTTGAAAGGAACCTTTTTTCTGAGCAGCAGGCCCCCAAAGTGGGCTTAAAACACTCAGTAAGCCATGCTGTGAACAGATGTGCTGTCATCCATGCTTTGCTGGTCCATGTTACAGCTAGACAGAGTACCTTCAGCCCAGTTCCTAAGGGTATGGGAATGGTCAACAAGCACTGGCTTCAATGAAACGTCACCAGCGTCATTAACCCCTAGCAAGAGAGTCAGCCGTGCTCTGAAGTTCTAAAGTCAGGCATCGACTCCTCTTCTCAAGCTACAAAAGCAGAT